ACACATCAACTATTTCATCTACCTATGTTCTACCTAACATATTCGTAGATATAAAATACATATATTGTTTAAATCATTTCAAACATGTATAAATCGTTCATCCAACATAGATATCAGGAACACAAATAATATGCATACATATCATATAATTTATATTAAATAATTCATATCTATGTGTAAGATGAAAGCAACTATGCACTCACTTGTTAAAGTGATGATTCCCAACTCGGGCAGTGCTTCGCTTCTTAATAATTTATTTTCCTTTGATGAAACCTAGTATTATTACCACTAGATTTTAGTCTAATATTGATCGCGACTATTTACGAGTGTTATTATTTTATAAGTGTGAGACAATACTTTTCAACCACTATATACATACAGGGGCCGGACATGAAACACCGGAGGGGAGAACCATTTTGGCATTATAGCACTTCTAAAATCCAACAACCCTATGCGGTCCTTCAAACCAGATTCCCCGTACCGCAAGTAGTTAAAAGATATTATAATAACACTTTGTATATTATATATATATATATATATATTGTTTATAAGTTCATAATAACGATAATAAATTAAAACATGAACTATATTTAAAGTATGGTAAGCATATCTCACTTACCGGGAGGTTTGGCTAAGAACCGGGCACTGCGGGGCAGAACTTCCGAGCCGAAAAGCTCTTTTTTCTTGGAGCCTTCTGGCATTCCAGAGACTTTCCTCTAGCACTTATAAGTTACTAGGGGTTGGGGGATGTTTAGTAGAGAGGTTATAGAGGGAAATAATGGTGAAGGAGTGAGTAAAAGAGGCAGCCCTCGTATTCCTTTTATATGCTCAAATCTGCGGTTACGCTAGGCGTACCCTCGCAGGTACGCTGCACGTACCACGGTGCTCAGGGTGTACCAGCTTACACAATGCGTATGAGTGGACATGTGGAGTGCTTCGGGTGGGGCAACGTGGTTGATCCGGAGCCATGTGTTGCGAGACCGCGGGGGATACAGGTTATGTACGCGGGGCGTACCCTATACCCTCGCAACAATCTTATCAATTTTCTAAATTCCGTAACTTTGGCATACGAGCTCCATTTTTGACGTTGTTTATATCCACATGTAGGTGAAGACGTACTCTACAACTTTTGTTTAGACTCTGTCAGCTAACTTTGACTTTATTTTTAAAGTTATATTTTTAACAGGGCGGAATAGGTAAAGTCCGTTAAAAATTCATAACTTTGTCATCCGACGTCCGCTTTCGTCTGTCTTTTTATCGTTGAGCTCCTATTAACGAGATATCCGATTCCTGTTTAGTTTGTGTCTGCTAAAAATCGGTCGATCTTAGATTCGAATTCCGGGCTGCATATTACTATGCTAAATCTTAGAAAAATTATAACTTCCTCATACGAAGTCAGATTTGGACGTTCTTTTTATGCACGCTCTCGGTTTAACGTATACTTAGAATTTCATTTAGATTTCTAAGGATAAAAATTACATGATCGTAAACTCACTTTTTACGTCACACAGCGTTGTGCCGGTTTTGTTGCGAAACTTCGATAGGTCATAACTTCTTCGTTATAACTCGAATTTCGGCGTTCTTTATATCTCCAGAATCCTTGTCACGACCACTAATACTTCTTCATAAATATTGGGTTCATCTATTATTTTATTTTTGACGCTTATTTTCATTCTTAATTTATTATATCTTATAAATAAGTATAATGCACATAAAATCACATAATTCACATAATATTCAAGTAATTCCTCTTTATTACTTCAAAGTAGGTTACAATTGTTGACCCTAACTATTACATTATCATACTAATGTTTAGCCTAGAAACACGGGCGTTAAATCATACGATCATCAATTTTGACCAAGAATCATCTCAATCTAAAACATGTCACTATTGTCCTCCAAACAATATCATATTTCCAACTGTCCACAAGCAACCAGTATTTTGGTATAATCTTAGAGTGTTCTTGATAGTTGTTTCACAAATTTATTCACACAAAAATTCTAATCCTTTTCCCCTCAATGCTCAAGGCATTTGGAAAAATCAGAATAAGTAAATATTACAACATATGTAATCGATCCTATATCCGAAGCATATGAGACTCGATTCAATATATCTTACATAAGGATTTCATATCAGTTCAATCTCTTGCTATAATATATCTATATATCGAATCTCCTATGTTGAATCATTTCAACATGATATTCATATACATCTATGACAAAGTTATATTAAACTATACGATCTAAACTTTTAGAATCGAAACAAAGTATGAGTTCCCTCCCTTAAGCCTACTATAGCGAAACAATTCTCAAACTTTTGCACTTTGCAAATTGAAAACTTTGTTCCCTACCAACAATATTGCCAAACTGCAATACTTAGCATAACAATTATGCCCCCACTAGCTTTGACATGTACCCAGAAATCAACTAGACTTCTAGAAATCAATACTCTTGACTTTTCTTACTAAAGTAAAGATTTTTATTACTCGATGCTTCGAAAAGTATCCAATTAGACTTCTTAAGCTTAGACACCTTCATTGGATAGCTTATGTATGTTCAAACCCTTTCAGAACTTAAAACTATAACTCTTAAAAGTTCAAACATTTCCTTGCTATTCCTCACAAATCGAAATATGAAGAGGGATGCCGTAATCATATTGTGAATTTGAGAATGCAATTAACACAACCAATATCCATATTGATCTTTATCAGATCCTCTAAAATCTACTGACAAAAATGTTTCCTCATATCATTCTTATGAATTAAAGCGAAAACTTTGCCACCTAGATTTTATGGTGCATACGTTCTCATCCATGTGAACCTATCACTTCCAACCTACAATCCTAAGACAAGGTTTAGGATAAAACCAAATTAAAATTTAGCTTTCCTTCATGGACTGAACTTCGATATTCTAAATTTCTTGTCCTCTGGTAGCACAAGGGCCTACCAGTGCTTCCGTGTTGTTAGCAGTTCACCATTTTGTGATGTGATTGTTGGGATCCATTTTTGTTGTAAAAAACTATTAATGAAAGAAATAGAGAGAAAAATAGAAAATATGGTGTATGTTTGATGGTAAAAGTGGATGGATTCTTTATAGAGTTGTAAATTGGTATATATATATAATTTTTGACCATTACAAAAAAATAAAAATAAATACATAAATAAAAAATAAAAAAATAATAATAAATCTTAAACATTCTTGAGCGTTGGAAGAAAAAAAAGAATGGAGAAAAGAGATGAGAGATAATGCAGGGAGGAGTTCATGTTTGACGAACCACCGCACCCACGGTGTGGTGTGGTGAACCTGGTGCGGTGAAAGCTCCAAGTCAGCAAAACCATATCATGCGGTGCTTCTACTTTGTTAGGTCTAATAGATGTCATTAAAATAAATGTATAAGCATCCACATCATTTATATTACTAGCAAATTTTGTGTTTTCCTATCTGTGAATTATCATATTGTTGTCATTTGACAACAAGTATAAAAATACTAAATTGCAAAATTTATAAGAGTAATAATGATTAAAAAATATAACGAATGTTTTTAGGTTTTCAAGCTTATGTTATATGTACATATGACATGGGTAGCAAGCCAGAGTGATAAAGATAAGGACAGGATATGAGCGGTGATGAGGGTAGAATTTTCTGACGAAATTTCATGATTGTTCCTTGTGGTTTGCAAGGCATCACATTCAAGATAAACTATCATAAACTATCATAAACCCTACTTGATTAACCTTTTGTATCTCTATGTGAAAGTCCTTACACATAACTTGTGGAAAGTTGTTAATGAAAATGCTTGTAAAAACACACCTAAATATGTATGCATGAGTGTGTGTAAGATGAAACAAAGTGTAAAGAAACGATGCAAATCAGGAAGACGTCAATTTGACCTGATCTTGCAAGCACTTAGGGTAAAATGGGTGCAGAATTAGACAAAATCAACATAAATAAAAGTTGTTAGAAATTGAGTTTAATTTGAAAGGACTTTGAAATCAGGTTATTTTTTAATCATTTTACAACTATAAGGAGTTTTACCAAACAATAAAAAAAATGCTATAACTTATATACTATATATTTTTTGTCACCATATAAACTAATTTCTAACACTTTCTAAAAAATCTTATTTTGCTACATCAAACCAATAACCACAAGTGCTTTTTATTTTGAAACACAATCCCAAACACCAGTTTGATATTCTTATAATTTTCATATTTAGTCGCTTTTTATTTTGAATCACAATCCCAAAGACCTCTTTGATATTATATATATATATATATATATTAATTACCAAATGTGTGAGGATTTACCATTCATTCCATTCCACGTATTTCATACTTTCAAATTTTTTTTTTCATTTTCCACCTTTTACTTTTATTTGTTTTTATATTTTGTACCTCTAAATTTTGATGTATTTTTTTTTCATTTCCCACCCTTTATTTTTATTTGTTTTTATATTTTGTACCCCTAAACTAATTTTTATGTAACAATTTTTATCCTCAATT